TAAAGGGGTCATATTATGTTGCTAAAAAGAACATTATTTTGTGTATTTGGTGTAATGAAATGTGTTTATGCGGTTTAAGGTTCAAAAAAAAGCTGTTTTAGGTAGGCTTGGCTGAATCTTTTAACTTTTATAAAGAATATCTCTTTGGATTTGAGACTTTAGTCTTTGCAACTGTACAGATCTTCTTTATGCACCAAGAGCTTGTAACACTCCAAAGAGAAAGGAAAAATTGAAATCGCATCATATGACCCCTTTAAGAGGTTAATTACAATGATCTTTAATAAGATGTTTTCAAGTTTTCTCTTAAACCTCATGTTGTGTTCTTGGCATATTCTATTTCCTGATAATCCTAGCAAAGTCAGTAAGTTTTAGTCTAATGCGATAACATTGCATTGGACTAAAACTTATAACTGACTTTGATCATACAACTACTCAAAAAATTTGGAACATTTTGGGGATTTTTTCCCCTCACCTTGTTACACTTGTATTGTTCCTAGTCAAAAATGACCGGCCTACAAAAAAATTGCTTATAAATTTCTTGCTATGCTATGTTATTACCAAATATTGTATTTAATCCTTTTATCAACTTGTTTTATTTTAATTAGCACAAGTTTTGTATTTATTTTTAGAACTGATTGGTTGTAGGCCTCATTGATCATTCTTCAAAATATCTCCATTTGTGTTCAACAGAAGAACGAAACTCATACAGGTTTAGAACAACTTGAGAGTGAGTAAACGATGACAGAATTTTCATTTCGGTTCAACTATACCTGCAAGAACAATCTTAAGAAAGATAAGCACATTCCTAAAACGTTCTCAAGTTTTTCTTTTAAGTAAGAAAATAGCAGTTAAGAAGAAGTTTATTCTTAAGAATATTTTGTGAATCTGGCCACAAATTTTGCAGGTGCATTACCCAGATTTGTTGTTAATATTTAAGCTAATTGCTTTGATTTTCTTGCTAAGTGGATGGAAAAGAGACTGAAGGTAGAAAGCCATGTAATGGATCTCACAATAGGAGCATATTGTATGCACAAGAAACAAGATGATCAGTTGCTATGCAATAACGAGTCCAGTAGGAACAGTAGGCTACCTTAGTGGAATGTTTTGCCATGGATACTTTGTAGACAGAAAAGGCGAGGGAGGAGGAGGAAATCTAAAGTCGTGGTCTGGGTGTTAAATATCATTAGGAATATTCCGTCACATGCCCAGACTCCGCATCTCTCCCTCTCTCGCAGACCAGACTGCAGTACTTCTACTTCTAGGCTCTCATGGTGCATGTGGGTGGAAAGAAGCAGGATTGGCCACGTGTTTGAGAGAGGCAGCACGCGCAGATAATGGGTTTCTGTTCCTTGCTCAGCTACCCAAACAGCAGCGGACTGAGGCAGACGTTTTGTCATTCCAGCTCCTTAGCTGGATAGGGAACGGGAGGGGCGGTGAAGTGGCGAGCTGCTCTGCTATTGGCCACTTGATAAATACTAGCCCCTCCCCTTTTGCAATGGATTGGATTTATGCTCTCAGTAGTGCGTGAGACACGTGATTGCCAGCCTGGCTTTAAAGATGATGTATAAAAGGTTACCTTTCTTGTTTGTTTATGTCATTGGTCATCTTTGGATCATGTATATGTTTGGAAATCTTTGTATGAAATTAGTACATTTGAGAGGTTTGGTAAGTGCACATTTCAAATGACAGTATAGATGTATTTCAGTTAACATGCTGTATTTTTGTTTTGTTCTCTGTTGTAGACAGAGAGATGAGTTAGACAAAATTGAAACGAATCAAGGTCTAGGTGTTAAGAGTCGTCAGGAATATTCCATCACATGCCATGAGCGAAAGTCTCTCTCTCTCTCTCTCAGTCCTGACTGCAGTAGTTCTGCGGCTGGGCGGTAGTGCTAGACTCTCATGGTGCATGTGGGTGGAATTTCATGTGCATGAGAGGACAATATTTTTTCAGTAAAGATGGTAGAATCACGTTGAAAGTTGCAGAGAAAGGTTTTTTTGCTGTCTTCTCCTAGTATGACATTGATGCATGATTTTTATATTCTCTTTGATGATAATGATTGATTGATTGACATATTGCTTTTTGTTTTATAGTATTGTGCTTTCATGTCTTGCTTTGTTTGTTTTTTGTTTCGCTTTGGTTTTTGTTTAGGTTCGTTTTGTTTGGTTTATAGCTCCTTTGGTCAAGCTTTACTTTTTAAAGACGTTGGATTTGTGAATTGTGAATTTGATACAGTCACATTGTAAAATCAGACAAAAGTTGTGTTGTTTTACACTCTCCATGCCATATTTTATTTTGTTTTGTTTTGTTTTTTTGTGTGTGAGTGTGTGTGTATTTTGCTTTTTTGTTTTGGGGGTCACTCTTTTGCTCAGGCTTCCTTTATAAAGAAACGAGTTGAATCTGTGAAAATGATAAAATCACCTTGTACATGTTGCAGACAACAGCTGTTGTTCTGCATTATGACCTTCATGTATGATTTTTAGAATGAAAATTCTCTGTCGAAGTCTCTTTGACGATTCATGACGTCATCTAATGATTTGATTTTGTGTTGTTGTATTGCTTTTTTTGTTACTCCTTTGCTAAAGCTAAAGCGTCACTTTTTTTTAAAGAATGAATTTGAATTTGTCAATTGTGGTTCATTTCTAACTCTTGGATTTCTTTGATCAGGCTTCATGGTTTGAAGTCAGGAAAGATGCTGAAGGAGTTTAGAGGCCATACGGCTCATATAAATGACGTCATCTTCTCACACCAGGGCCAGCATGTCATTAGCGCGTCAGCAGATGGCACAGTAAAGGTAAGTGTTCATACTGTGGCGAACAACACACAATAGCCTATGCATATTTCCATTTATTTGTGTGGATTTTCCTTGCTTAATTGTCTTTTTTCAGGTCTGGAGCATGAAGACAATGGATTGCACTCACACAATAAAAACCCCCGACATTCCTGATGGTACAGACATCACTGTTAACAACGTTGTGCTTGTCCCAAAGACTCCTGAGCACTTTGTGGTGTGCAATAGGACCAACACGGTGGTTGTTACGAACATTCATGGCCAGGTGAGAACAAAAATGAACCAGCATATACTGAGCAAGATACTTCTGCATGCTCCTCATTATTATTTTAAAAAGACTCTTTTTACTAGAGTGAAACCTACAGTAACTGGTTTTCATATTCGGCATAAATGGCACAAAATAACACCATTAATGAATCAGAAACCTTGACTAAAGGCTGGATGTTGAGCAGACGTTTAAAAAAAGAAACAAACTTCCAATGCAGTTTGTGAGGTTTGCTAAAAATAGCTACGCACTTATTATTCTGACCGTCTGATGGCTTATAATAGCCGTCTCACCCACTCTTTTCTTGACGTATTTGATGACTCTCTCTTTCGCATGCTTTTTGGTACTTATTTTTTACAAGCGTGCCTTTACCCATTTGCATTGCACTTTCACTCTCACTCTCTTGCCCCCCTCTCTTTTCCCTCCCAGGTGATGAGGAGTTTCTGTTCAGGCGTAAGAGAGGGGGCAGACTTTGTTTGCTGCACGTTGTCTCCATGTGGAGAGTGGATTTATTGTGTGGGAGAAGACTATGTGCTGTACTGCTTCAGCACCATCACTGGCAAACTAGAGAGAACCCTCACGGTACCATCCGCCTCCACAGCACATGCTGTATATCCACGAGATCTGTTTTAGTCTGGTGAAGTGTGATAGGTTCACAGCTGAAGTTGTCTTCTCGGTATTCCAGAACAATTGGTATTTATAATCAAAACACTGGCTGTACCTCTAATTAGGACTAGTTGGAGATATATATCAAAACTGAATTGGATATAAAATGAACTCTGCTTTAAATTAAGCAAGTGTTTGTGTGTGCATCCTCCACAGGTACACGAAAAAGACGTGGTTGGCATAACTCACCACCCCCATCAGAATCTCATCGCCACATACAGCGAGGATGGCCTGCTCAAGCTCTGGAAGCCTTGAGTCTTGTCTTTCATAATAATATGGACTCTGTACACATTTTTTGAGTTTTATGTTCAGGATTTGTGGTATTCCTGCACACACACGTCTCTGCCTTTATACGCCTGCTATGACATTGGTCTTCCATTCAAAGCGCTCAAAAAGATTCATGTTCCTGTTGAACATTAGCATCATACCTTGAGATGAAGGACCTCTTCGACATCTGAAATTAACTACATCCAATTCTGTAATACTAACGTTCCTCTGAAGTCTCTAGTGGAAAACAAGAAATACTGCATGGATGTACTGGTCTTTTACTATTATTATTATCAAGGGCTTTGTAGTATTGTCTGTGATAATATCTGCATGCAAGATTTAGCCCGATCGACATTAGTGTGGTAAATGTACTGGTTTTCTTTCCAGACCATTTTTTGACATCTTATATGTGAATGTATGTATTTTCTTTGATCATTTTGGCCAAAGACAAATAGTGTGTACTTGCTCATAATGTGACATCGCACAAGTCTTGGACTCAATGAGGACATATTCACATATTTGTACTTGTGTACATTTAGAATTCTGATACGTTTAGAATTCATATGGTACAATATTGTGTTGATTATAATGGTTTGGTGTGTTTTAACACTCAACTAAGCACATCTACTTGTACTGCATGCAGGTGAACATATTATGCAGTTACTGCAATACTGTATATCAGTATGGTTTGTATTCTGATTATTACAGATTATTTTTTAATCAAGGATATTCACAATTTTTGTTGAATATTGGTATAACACTGCTTTACAGTGCAAGTCTCTGAGTATCTTACAGTGTTGGTAAATTGCTGCGGTTTAATTAAAATTCAAGCATGAATAATTAATGACAAACTTTTCAAGAAGATTTGTCATTAAGATGCATCATTAACTGGTTAGATGTGTGCTTGATATTTGCAGTAGATCTCTAATAAAGCTGTAGAGACATCTTCATATACAAAATGTACATCATGATCTTTTTAATCAAACAGGAGGAAGGTTTATTTCCACAAGTACCCAAATTTTGGCATAATTAGCCAAACATTCAATTCCCCCAGACCCCAAAAATACAAAAGTGGCTAAATGAATAACATTGTGACATTTATTTTATAAATAGAACTACAAATGGCAGTTATTGGTCATAATTAAAATTCCAAATTTTTCAATTAATCGTCAGTCAACACAGATAATCAAATATAAGACTTGCCTGCTTGCAAAAAACGAAAATAATAATAATACCAATCAATTAAGAAGCCAACTAATATCACTCTACAAAATAAGGCTTTTAAGAAATGCATCACAGTCTGCCATCATTTTGAACAAGATGTTCCTCTTCTTTAGAAATACCACAATTTCAAATGTATTTTAAACTTAATTAACCCTCTTATTAGTTTAAAATGTTCTAGAAAAACATTTAGGAATAAACTGGCACAAAGCAAATTTCCAACAACATCAAGATCAAACATGTCTTGCATGTAAACCACAATTAACTGGCAATAAACAAAACACCACAAAGATTGTAATGTTTTCTCAAACTGATGATGTAAATTAGATTTTCAAAGTAAATACATTTTAGAGATGAAATTTTCTGGGATTATGGCACAACCAACTTGACCCGAATGTCCCATTTCCACTGTAACTGCTACACACATTTCCATAAACTCAGGGGATGTTTAAAATGAGTTGTGAGACTGGTGCCATAGTTTCAATTGAAGGGAGAGTCTATTTCACAAATTATTTGCTCAAAATTTTGGACGAGGAGTTTCTTCCAAACAATGACACAAGAGGTCGGCACTAAGAGGTCTTATTCTAGGCACAGAACTAGTTGAGAGGTAAATAACGTTTTCCCTCTTGGTCCTTTTCCTTGTGTTCCAGCAGAGGTGGCATTTATTGTGGAAGGGAGGGTAAGGGAACAGGAATCTCTACGAGGTTTGGCACTGGACACCTCCAGATGGGTTAAAGTCTTCCTCCTCTATATAGTGGTAATGGTGGCGTTCATGGGTCAGATCACAGTCTTCAAGGTCAGCGTATATATAGAGGTCATCATCCATGCCGTCAGGCTCAATATTTGCCTGTTTTTCAGGTAAGTACCTTTCTAATTCCTTTAGTTTGTTTAATGGGAGGAAGCTCTCTTCAGGGAAGACAACCTTAAGAAGAAAATTAGCACAATCAGTTTATGTAAATTAATATTGTTAGTGAGAAGGAGCAAAAAAAAAAAAAGGCTAAAAAATGTAGCTAATAATAAAAATTTCTCAGCCTTTAAAGTACAGTGGGTAGAGAAATGAATCATCCCCTTTAAAAGAATCACACGTTGCTTTGCAGCCTGAAATGAAGACGGACACAGTTTGTGTTTTATCCAGCTGTATTTACATCCAAGTAAAAGATATAACACCAACATGTCAGAAAAAAATACAAAAAACAGAAACACTGAAATGGAAAAAGGATCACCCCCTTGTGTCAATATTTTGTTGAACCACCTTTTGCTTTAATTACAGCCTTTAGTCTGTTGGGATCTGTCTCGGTCTCTACTACCTTAGCAATATTTGCCCACTCTTCTTTGCAAAACTGCTCAAGTTCAGTTAAATTTGATGGTGACCGTTTGTGTACTGCAGTCTTCAAGTCATTCCACAGATTTTCAATGGAGTTTAAGTCTGGGCTCTGACTAGGCCATGCATTCAACCACTGTGTGTCAGTTTTGCTGTGTACTTTGGGTCATTGTCATGTTGGAAGGTAAGGGTGTATTCACACCTGTCTTGTTTGGTTCGATTGAATCGAAACTCAAGTTAGTTTCCCACCTTGGTGCAGATCTTTTGGGCAGGTGTGAATACAGCAATCGCACTCGGGTGTGGACCAAACAACCTCACTGAGACCCAGCTGAAGAGGTTGTCTCGGTCCGGTTCCAACGAACTCTGGTACCCTTGAGAATTTCTGTTCAATGAATGGATTGCCTTAGCACACGTGTGGTTTTGTTTACAATTTCTGGTTCACTTGCAAAAAGGGCAGTGTGAAAGCGAACCACACCAAAAAAAAAATCAACATTGTATTTGGTCCAGACCAAAGCAAGTGAACTAGCGGACTTTCCTGGTGTGAATACACCCTAAACCTTCTTCCCATTGACAATTTTCTGGCAGAGGGTAGCAGATTTTCCTCAAGAATTTGGAGTGGAGGGGGTGATCCTTTTTTTGACTCTGTTTATTAAAATTGTTTCCTGACATGATGGTGTTATATCTTTCACTTGGATGTTATAAGTTGCAATGAGTAAATACAGCTGGATAAATCAAACTGTGTCCGTCTTCATTTCAGACTGCAAAGCAACAAAATGTGACTATTTTATTCTATTGATTCTTGTAAGTACACATTGGTACATAGTATCTACAGCTCTAATATTTCTGTAACTACACACATGTAACAACCCACAGAATGGTTTGTGTAAGTACAAATGTGTAACAGGAAATTGGTAACAACACTTTTTTTCACTTCACTAAGTACTCGTGTAACAGGAATTATATAACTACATTTTGTAACAACAATATGTATAAGAGTAATTGGAACCATTTGATCCTAGAGCAGTAGATACCATGTACCAATGTGTACTTACACTGTGGTTACATACTACGTACACATCTAGGTACTATGTAAGTACACAGGTATTAGGGCCACTTAATATAAAGTGGGACCAATGTTTTACAAATGTAATGGAACAAATGGACAAAAGTTTACATTTTTGTTTTAGTTTTAGTTATTTCAGTACTTCAACTTAAACTGAAAGAAAATAAGAAATGTTGAAAGCTGTAGCTGAAATAATTTTGTTCCCAAGTAATAATTTGAATGGTTTTAGTTTTCGTTAAAGTCCCCATGCAGTCACTAATGTTATCCCTTTTTCCTGTGAAAATAATTAAAATGGCTTGAATGTAATACTTGCCTCACACACACACACACACACACACACAGCTGGGTAGATTACTGATTACACATTACATGATGAAAACTGTAGTTAGTAATGTAATCTAAGTTACTCATTTTAGGTAAAGTATTCTGACTACGTTTTAGATTACTTTTTTTATCTAACTTGTTTTAAACTTGCCACTGAACGTACCATGTTGATATAAAAAAAGCAAAGAGAAAGAAAATATATTCCATTCTTTTTTTCCCCAACATCATAAAATGCATTTAACATTACATTAAACCAGAGTTTCCCCAAACTGGGCTCAATGTAACTTAATTATTAATTAAACACTAAAAATAGAAATATTTCATTTGTTAACCTGCATGTCAATGTGACGATTAAGCGACAATGAACTGTAATGTGTTGTTAAATTATTGAAATATTAACTTCCTCAGAGATTTCTCAAGAAAATATTTCAGGTCAAAGTGGTTTTGGCTGACAACAATGTTTGGGAATCTATTTAAAAGAAGAATTAATGAGAATCAATAAATTATGAATGATTCACTGCCATTGTGTGTATAACATGTAATCATGTAATCCATAAAAGGTAACTGTAATCTGATTATGAGCATTATAAAATGTAACATACTCTTGACTACTTGATTACAACTACTTGATTTTTGGAATCTGATTATGTAATCCAGATTACATGTGATCAGTTCCTACCCAGCTCTGTATATATGTATATACATATATATATATATATATATATATACACATACATACACAGGTGCATCTCAATAAATTAGAATGTCGTGGAAAAGTTCATTTATTTCAGTAATTCAACTCAAATTGTGAAACTCGTGTATTAAATAAATTCAATGCACACAGACTGAAGTAGTGCAAGTCTTTGGTTCTTTTAATTGTTCTCACATCTCACATTTAACAAAAATTCACTATCTCAACAAATTAGAATACTTCATAAGACCAATAAAAAAAACATTTTTAGTGATTTGTTGGCCTTCTGGAAAGTATGTTCATTTACTGTACATGTACTCAATACTTGGTAGGGGCTCCTTTTGCTTTAATTACTGCCTCAATTCGGCATGGCATGGAGAATTTATTGAGATGCACCTGTATATATATATATATATACGCACTTTAGCCCCCGCCTCCACTCAATCAAATTATCAAAAAGTATTTGATGATATGGAAAATAAAAACTACTGGACTTAAAGAACAGAAAAATTTACATATAAACCATTTTGAGGGATGTAAACAATAAAAATCTAACGCAACATTTCCCATATTACACTTTTAATTTCCATAACTTCTCCATTCAGAAAGGTCCACATTTTGATAAAAACGTTATGACAGCTGTGTTAACGTTAGTTATGACTGAAGTGCCTCCTATTACTGTTTTGAAAGTTTGACAAGCAGGAAATGTTCATGGGTCAGTGACATGACCGCACTGAAAAGGTCTATTCAAAAATTAGTACTCACGCTGAAAAGGATAATGAGTTTCCCTTTCTCAAATGGCCGACGGTGCATTGGCATCCCCTCATTCAGAACACATTTCTTATCCCCAGGTCTGATCAACTCCCCTATTAATGCAACAAAGAAAGACAATACATTTGCTTTACCCATCTACAGTTTATATTAGTTATATCAGCTCTGCTATTTTTAAGATTCATTTAACAACTAGCCAAGCTTCTAATTGGTAGTTTTTACTCTCTAAATGAGTCTTCAGGAGTAAATTGAGAAAGATATCAGAACCAGTTACACCAAATCCAGGTAGACCAACTTAATCACAGCATACACGAAGAGATATTACATACATGCCTGGTTGTCTGGTGATATATATACACAAGGTCAATAAAGCACTAAGGATTAAGAACTCTGGAAAAGCCAATAGCAACAATGACCAGAAGGTGTGCCATCTGCCAAGGTTACATAATATCACTCCTGCCATTCTCCCCGAGCCAGATCATCACTAAGAGTGGATATGCTTACAGGTTCAAGACAGAAACTTCCATCAGGCTGTACGCAATGACCAGCACAGACCCACCATGTTGCTGATGTTATAGAAACCTGCATGTAATGCTTGAATATTTATGTAGGATGGTTCACCTGGATGGGATGTGATGAGTAGAGTTCTGTTGTCCAGTGTTTTAACAGGTTTTTGAAAACCACATAATGACTCTACCAACTGTAGCTCCATGTTCATGATGAGGTCCTCTGCTTGTCTGACAGGAGAAACGGTAAGTACATTAATCATTATGTTTCTTACATAATATCTATATATTCTGTTCCCTAATTGCCTTGTCTAAATGACCAAGTACTTTAACAGTTTACTGTCCCATATACAGAAAACACAGAAAGCGTGACACAAATCCTGAAATAAATGAGCCAGTGCTGCCATCTCCAGGACAATATCATCAATGACATACCTCTGAAAATAACATAGCCCCTGCATCTTGAAAAACAAAGCCTAAATTTGATAATGGCAAGTAAAAAAACAATCAAAAGTTTCCATCACATGCAGACCCCCCCCCCC